TTTTTTTTCCCCCCCCCCCCCCTTAGCCAATGCCTCGTTTACGTATCGCTGGCAGATGGAATAAGCGTCCGTGTGGGGCCAACTTCGGGGTAAGTTTTTCATCCGTCAACACACTTTCATTGGCTGTCATTCTCACGATTATACATGAGTCGTTAAATCTCGAGTGGTTCAACTTACGCTACCTTACAACACCGATATAATGTGAGCTCGATCTAAATGTCGATCATGCACTAGCGCAAAGCACGATGTCGCTATTCCAGATACAGAGCGCAGCCGCAACTTTTCGATTCCCGCGACTGGAATCCTTTCATTCTTCTGCTTTTTTTCATTTGTTCTGTTGTGATCGTTTCCACTAAAAGGGTTGTTGGAAACAATCTCACATACGCCAAGATTTCAATTTTCACCACTTTGAATGGTTCCATTAATATAATGCTGCATTTGAGGAATAATGTTTCGTGTCCTACTGATCCTTTGGGTTTCCGCAGTACACAAAATGCCCCTCTGCGTTTTCACTTTGTGAAATATGATTTTACCATCGTTGTAGTTCGGTGGTCGGTTGGCCATCTACCGTGCTCCAAATGATCCCGCTCGACGTCCTCGTTCATCGGCCAGTCTGAGCGTGTCTCGTCAGATTTCCGGCGGTCCTGCGGACTCCACTGTGGCGGCCGGGGCAGTGACACCGGAGAGCACAACCGGCGCAGAAGCCGCATCGTGTCTGCGCCCCGTCCATGTCGATTGGGTGGACTGTTTGGACACCTCTCCAATTCGCGGTCTGAAATCCGCACTGAATTGTTTGTCCGATGAGAAATTGCATGGATTGACCAAAAATATGGTGCATTGGTTAGATCAGATTTTGACCGTACCGTTGAATCAATTGACGGATATATGTGACAAAATGGCCGAAATTTGCGTACCGCACCTCGTGAATTGCAATTCCACTTGGAAATCGCCGTGGGAATTTCTGAAAGTAGGTCTGGGTAAAAGGCGTGTATCAGGTCAATTCATTGTAGTTGCATTCAAATTGATTTTTTCTTCCACAACTGTAATAGTGACTTTCTACTGGCTTGTCTCGAATTCTCTGTCTTTTTGATACTTGAAATATTTCAGTAAAGATATTGCTTCTGAAAAACAGTGCCAATAATGTTTCTTTCCACTGTTCTCAATCGTGTTTCTCCACGCTCCTATATACATTCAGTGGTCAGTCTGTCGTTACCTGTTAGCAACGGTACTTCACTTCGGTACATTTTCATCTTGACTGAATAGTGAACATGGATCCATTGAAACGCAGACTAGCTAACGACCCTATTTTCTGTGCTTCACGACAGAGTGGACCAATTCAAACATGGAGTTGATTAAGTCACAAAATGTTTCGCGGGAAATAAGAACAACATTGCGTCTCAAACTTGGTTGTGTCGTCAGTGTAATGTAATGCTATGCTATTTGTTGTGTGTGAAGTGTGAGAATGCGACGTGATTGTGTGTGTTGGGTTACGTCATCCGGTCCTTTGCATGTGATCAGGTTAGAATCATTGTTATCACATTGATTTTTATCTCGAGAAAGGAGTCTTTCAGAAGGATAGCGATCACCCTTGTCATCGATCGTTCTATCGTGGTTTTCTGTGGATAGTGTAAACTAGAAAGAAAGTCTCACTTGCTTTGATCATACAATCAGACTCAACTACTTGAATCTCGATCGCCATGAGCCTGTTCTCTCTCTCCCCCCCCTCCCTCCCCGGTCGTTGGTTCGTCCAACTCGGGTGATGTTTTCTTATGCGATCGCACAAACTTCTCGGGGCGTTGCCTAAGTTGCTTGCCCTGTATAAGCACATTTGCATTGTGTACTCTGCTGGCCGTAGAGGTTCGCTTTCTTTTCCCCAATCCCTATCCTCCTTTCTCATTCTTTCTTACCTTGGATGTGTTATGAGTTTGGCAGCGATCAGTGAAGTTCGCTTCACTGTATTCCGTTGTGCGATGATGGCAATGATGAGGTCATGGCCATGGCCCATCGGTACTACTCAATGTGCTCGTAACCTCAGTCTTCATGAGTTTTTACCCAGGCACTACTTTTAACATCCCAGTGTTTACTCCCTCATCCAAATGGGCAGCCGAGACAGAGAGAGAGAGCAACTAAAACCGCCGCACCAAAGTACAGGATTAAGGGTTGTAAAGCCTGAAACTGAAGTTTTCATCACAAAACAGAACCAGTCGAAATGCGAGGCTCGGCTGTACATGCTTGTTTGAGATGCTAGTTTGTAGTTCTACTGGTAATTAGATCCAAAGGTATATAGGTTTATTTTCAAACGCTAATGACGCCGAAATCTTCGGCCCAGATCGTCTGAGTATTCCCGTGGTACTTATACTACCTAATATGTGACTCATCTGACTGCGCCTTATTTACATTGACCTCTCGAATTAGTGAAACAAACAATATGGAAAATGGTTTTTCTCTCCTCTCGATATATATATATTTCGTAATAAGTAGTATGTGAATGACTGGACAAAATACTCTGGAAGCACACGACCGGTTTCGCGGTTCTTGCCGCTCGTCAGGCATGCGTATCCGGTAATCTTTTGTCAGTTCATTCATATACTTGTACCCAGGAAGTGTATGTTCATCGATGGCTCTGAAAGAGCTGTCTATCTAATGGTTACCCGGTGTTGCAAACAAGGTTATTGTGACGAAT